TTTTAACACGAGATCTCGCCTATTAATGCGAGATCTCGCCTTTCAACACGAGATTTTACTTTATAGCGCGAGATCTCGCCTTTTAACACGAGATCTCGCCTTTTAACACGAGATCTCGCCTATTAATGCGAGATCTCGCCTTTTAACACGAGATCTCGCCTCTGGCTTTATAGCACGAATAGAATTGTACGGGCTTCCTGTGCTGGGGTCTTTTCAGCTGATTCAGCTGATTGCAGGCTCAAAAATGGCGGAAAACATGGAGAAGGTGCGTGTTTTTGTTTTTGTTTTATTAAGTTTAACGTTGTTTGTTTCTTGTGGAGCCTTGCCACCCTATATTCCTGCCGCTGGGGGCATACAAGGCGATAGAGATTCTTGTATTTTTCAGTACTTTAATCTAGGATTGGGGTATGCTGAAATACTAGCGTTTCTTAATGCTGTTCATGGCATTACATTAAGTCTTCGTCAGCTCAAAAGGATMTTATTTAAAAGAGGTTTGAGAAGAAGACAAATTAAGTACAATCCTCAGGATAWAATTTCTGCAATGGAGCAAGAATTATGGAGAAGTGGTAGCTCACTGGGTTACCGTCAGATGCAACTAAGGCTAAGACTTGATTATGGAATGTCAGTTGACAGGGAAACAGTACGAAGAAGTCTTGCCATACTTGACCCAGAAGGAGTCAAAAGACGCTCTCGTCACAAATTGAAAAGAAGACAGTATTTCTCTCAAGGACCAAATTATTTGTGGCATCTGGACGGATACGACAAACTTAAACCTTTTGGATTTTGTATCCATGGGGCTATTGACGGTTTCAGTCGTCGAATTTTGTGGCTCGAAGTAGGCCCTTCAAATAACAACCCACGTGTCATTGCTACATATTTTTACAATTCTGTGAGACAGCTTGGTGGAGTCCCATACATTTGCCGTGCAGATGCAGGAACTGAAAACTGTTTAGTCGCTGGAATGCAACGTTTTTTCAGAAGGGAAGCAAGTGATGAATTTTCTGGTGAAAAAAGCTTCYTATACGGTAGGTCAGTTTCAAATCAAAGAATAGAGGCTTGGTGGACACATCTACGCAAAACGGATACAGGCTGGTGGATCAATTACTTTAAAGATCTGAGATATCAGGGGCTTTATGATGACAGTAATCCAGTACATGTTGAATGTTTAARGTATTGTTACATGCCTATCATTAAAGAAGAGTTGGAACGAGTAGCTCAGTTATGGAACTTGCACAAGATTAGACCATCTGCAAATGAGCATTCACCTAGTGGTCGCCCTGACACCATGTTCTTTATTCCTGAAGCTTTTGATTCTGTATCAYATCTTCAACCTGTCAATTCAATAGATTTAGCAGTAGCAAAGGAAACATGCTGTGAAATTCCAGAAGATGAATCCTTCGAAACATTTTCAGAACTTGCTGAAATAGTTATCACTGAGAACAACCTTGAATTGCCAGGCAATGATATCATCAAAGCAGAGTTGCTTTATATCAACCTAATTGAACATATAGAAAATATTGCCTGAATCTCATAACCTCAAAATACTACAGAACAACATTGACAGCTGTGCTTCTTGATACATTAGTTCTGTGATCAGCCATGATATGGATACTGATATAAATATATTACAGCAAAAASCAATTAAGTAGGACCACTGATATGTATTCACATTTTTCTGTCACTAACTTTCAACCAATCAGCACAGTGTCTACACTTGATCTTGATTACTGATTGGTTGAAAGTTAGAGACATAAATATACATTATCAGTGGTCCTACTCAATCGCATTTTGCTTCATTTGTGATTGAGATCAGAGCTATCAAGCTTATTCTGAACATGAAATTGTTACTAATTGTTCTAAATTTAATTATGTTAAAAATTATTCTTAGTGCTATTAGAATATTTGTTTCCCATTTTGATTTTCTTTCAGCCCACAGTTACCCTGGCCCCTCATTTGGATGTATTCACTCTTCGCTTTTGTTTTCATAAAGCCCGAAGTGCCAGCGAAAATATACATCTAACCTCTGGGACCAGGGTAGCCCACAGTGAAATTCAAGCTGAGATAATTCCCCAAAATGTAGCTTTTCATTGATTCTATAGCT